AAGACAAAATGACAACAAATTTAAAGATCTTAATTGGCTTTTACTTGGAATTTAGAATTGGGCAACACCTCACCGTATGCAATAGAATGAGTGTTCCGATTGAGCTGAGCAGTAGAGGTTGGCTTTGAAAGCAGAAATGAGAACAAACATCAGGTTTCAAAGTTATTTTCCTTGTAAGATTAAAGCAGAGGGGACTTCCTTACCATACTGGCTAAAACTGGCCTGTTTGGGATCTGACTATTATTCCTCACTCTCCTGATCTCTCGGAATGTCAGATAAACAACCTGGTGTCAACTGGGTGACAAGGAACTTCAGCATGAGTGACTCACTTTGGCTTGGTCTGCGGGGCCCAAGCCAGAGGTCTCCTATACATTTCATTGAACACCCTCATAGCCCCATGGGGGCCGCACATCCTGAAGAGAGTGAACCCACTCTGAACCCAAAAGAAATGCAGCCTGGCGGCCAGAGTGGTGGTTTATGCCTGGAATCCCAGCACTTTGGTAGCCAGGAGTTCAAGGCCAGTCTGGGCAACGTAGTGAGAACCCCGTTGATACAAAAATTTAAGAATTACCCAGGTGTGGTGGTGTGTGCCTGTAGTCTCAGCTATTTGGGAGGCTTAGGTGGGGGGCTGAGGTTGCAGTGAGCTGTGGTCATGCCACTGGCACTCCATCCAGTCTGGGTGACAAAGTGAGACCCTATCTCAGAAGATTAAAATAGAAAGAAAGAAGGAAAGGAAGAAAAGAAAAGAAAGAGAGAAAGAGAGAAAGAGAGAAAGAGAGAAAGAAAGAAAGAAAGAAAGAAAGAAAGAAAGAAAGAGGGAAGAAAAGAAGAAAGGAAGAGAGAGAGGAAGGCAGGAAGGAAAGAAGGAAGGAAGGAGGGAAGGAAGGGAGAAAGGAAGGAAAAAAGAAGAAAAAGAAGAAGGAAGGAAAGAAGGAAGGGAGAGAGAGGAAGGAAGAAGGGAGGGAAGGAGGAAGGAAGAGAGGAAGGAAGGAAGAGAGGAAGGAAGGAAGAGGGGAAGGAAGGAAGGAAAAAGAAAAAAGGAAGGAAGGAAAGAAGGAAGGAAGAGAGAGGGAGGAAGGGAGGGAGGAAGGGAGGAAGGGAGAGAGGGAAGCAGGGAAGAAATACTGCCTGCCTGGTCCCACTACCAGGGATCTCAGCCACTAATGTCCCCACCCTGCGTCCCCGGTACCCTCCCACCCTCAAACTCTGGTCTCATACCCGGAAGACAGCCTCGAAGCTCTCCAATCTCCCACCCCTTTGCCTCCCCATTCCTCCCACACCCTCTTTGAGGGAAGGGCAGGCGTGGGCACAGTGACTTCAGGACTTGGCCTCTTCCTGGGCATTCCCTGGCCCACCTCCTGCCACCAAGATGGTACCCAGCCCAGAGGGGCAGCTCCTGCCCTGACCCCTGCAGGTAGCCTGATATTGGGCAGGGTAGGGCAGGGGAGAGGAGGGGAAGAACCCTGCTCACGGGCCTCCCACAACCATCTCTCAACCTGGCCTCTTGCCTGGCTGTGGGCACCCAGGTTCCTTGGGGGTCTGCCCTTATCGCGTTTCCAGGGCTTTGCTTAGCGTGCTCCTCGCTCCCTTCAATGCTACTCTTTGTAGTGAGGCCAAGGGGCAGCCTCCTCTCCCCGCCCCAGGACCCTCTCCCCTACAGTTACACAGGAATGTAGGCACCTGCAGTGAGAACCACCAGAAGCGTTTTCTTAGCTACAGGGCCTCACCCTGGGGCCCCACTGAGCAGAACGACCCTTTGAGCAGCTCCCAACCTCTGGCTCAGGAGCTGATGTCTCAGACTCAACCTTGGCCTTCCCCTTCCTTGTCGCGTTTCAGGTCCTGGAAGGTTTGGACAGGGGCCTCCTCTTTGCAGTCAAACAACTTAATTTGAAACTCCCATGCGAAGCCATCTGCCTGGTCTGGTGGCCTTTCCTTCCCTCGGGGATAGCAAGAGGCACAGCAGGATTGTCTGCAGGAACAAAGGGTGTGGGTGGTCAGAGAGCCCCAGGAGCCAAGATTTGGGGACGAGGGTGCGGGGGAGGGGGGCTGGGGGGGTGGGGGGGTGCTGGCAGAAATTCAGCACAGCAAGGGCAGTGAGATTAGTGAGGCTGGATGCATGTGCCCTTTCAAAGCTAAAAGGAAAGTATTTGATTGACCAGAGGAGATAAGCCTGGAGGAGGGAGCTGGGAACTGCTGCTGGAATCTCAGAGATGTGAGAGGGTTCTGGACCAGGCTCCCCCGCCTCCCGGTAGGGACCATAAGCACTGCAGATTCTATGATGAAACCAAGAGTGCCTTTTGCCGAGTTTGGTTTCAGGGAAGCGTTTTGTCTTGTAACTTCTTTGTTTTTGCATTTTTTCTTTTCTTTTCTTTTCTTTCTTTCTTTTCTTTCTTTCTTTCTTTCTTTCTTTCTTTCTTTCTTT